TCAGCAGAGTTTGCAGCGGGGACCGTCACGGGCTGGGGGGCTACAGCCAGGCAGGGGTTGTGCACAGCCCCCGGGATCTTCTGCAGCTGAAGGAGACAAACAGCAACAACTGGAGGCAACAACTCAATAATTTAGGCACCGTACGAGCTCCGAGCACAAAAAGACACGTTTTTCCACAAACCAGGTGTTACGTTGGGGTGAGCAGACAGGACAGGGAGGAATGACCCTCCCTTCCTCCCCCTCTGCAGATGTATTGAAGGAAACGCTCAAAAACGTGTTTTACACTATTAAAAAACACAAACGCAGACAATGCAAGTGCCATTTCAAATGGAATCTAGGGCAATAGAAGGCTTGGTTTCACCCTTTCTGATATTGGGAACTACACTCTACAACACTGCCCTCCACCTTAAAACATACATTAAAAAATACATTAACCTTTCCCACTCCAGGCATCTGTCTTCCCCCCGGCAGATAAAGGAGGGTACAACTGCTTTGTAAAGGAACTGGAAATTCATTTTCTAAAAAGATGAACCCTCTGGCTCCCACTCTGACCTGCTCAGCTGAGCAGGGCACAAATGGATCGTCCTGGACCTTTCGTGTCATCCTCCTGCACTGCTGCAACCCGCTGGCCGCGGGACCGAGCCCTGCATTTACATTACAAAGTGCAAGGAGACCCTTCCAGATGGGGCAGCTCCTCTTTGTTGCTTTTCACCATTAGCCCCCAACCAAGCATATGCCGGCTCCCGGGGGAGATCCCGCTTCCTGCCCTGGATATGATGGGAAAAGGGCTCATCCGAGCCAGGAAAATGAGCAGGCAGCAAGTGCAGCTGCTGCCAGCACCTCCTTTGCTCCTGTGACAGGTTATCTCTAAGCTACAAAGCTTAGTTGCCTGTTTCTTCATGTTCAGGAAGCAAGAAGAGCTCGGGATATCCTGCTGCAGTCTTGTATGCTTGCCCATGTATGGTAAAAAGGAAAAAAAACGAGCAGATGAAGTGCAATATTCAAAATTTATGCTCTGGCAGTTTGTGACTGTTTCAGGAAAGCAGCTTCTATTCCCACACTAGCTCTGAAACCCCCAGCCGTGGTTAAAGGAAATGGGGAACAGAAGGAAAAGCAGCCCTCGGAGCAGCCGGATTTCGCTCCTGCCTCGTTACCGGTTCAGTCATTCCCACAGCAAAAGCCACGGTGACCCGCAGCGCGTGGAAGAGCAGCTCCAGAATAAACCCGTTTCTGCTTTATTCACGGGCTTTTCTTGGATTACTTGCTGCCTCGGGATTGCAGCAGTGCTAATGACTTTAATTACCTGCTTCCTGCGCCACGGTACGGGATGGAAAGCTGAACTACCAGGAATCCCGCCTGGATTTGCCTCCGTACCTTGGGCTGCTCCTGTTTGCAGCGGGGTGGGTGCTCACGGCAGGGAGCTCTGCAGAGGGCAGCAACGGGGCTAGGGGTAAAGAAAATAACAAGAAATCAATAAAAAGCCAGAAGGAATCAATGAAACAGGGATGAGAAGCAGCATCCTGCTCACCAAGACGCATCCCTGTTGGCCTAGAACAGGTCCCAACTCCTCACCCAGCGTCTCTGCAGGAGCCACACGAGCTGGAAAGGGAAAAGGCTGCTGGATGGGTCCAAGTGAGCGGGCTGGAGCATCGGCAGGAGCCCGGGGGGCCAAGGGGAGGCAACGGGGACAGCTGGAGCTGCCACGTGGAAGGAGGCAGCAAGTCCTTCAGGATGCGACACGGGAGCCGCTTTCCAGCTCCCGCTTCTCCGCACGTCTTGCTGGAGAAACACGACCTACCGCAACGAGCCATCTGCGTCCACCCGCATCATCACGGACGATATTTTATAAGGGATATTATATCAGCCAGGAAAAAAAAAAAAACGATACCACCATGGAAATACTGCATTCATGCTGATATTGTTATATGCATTACAGTAAGAAACCAGAGCCAAGAAATGGCATTAAAGCTCCATTCATTTTCTCATCTCCCTCCTCCTCCGAATCTTGCACGAGAAGTAGAGCGCGATGCTCCCCAGGACACCCCCCAGCACCCCCGTGGCCAGTCCCAGCAAAGGCTCGTTCAACAATTTCCTCTGCCAAAAGCTCTGGGGCTGCTGCATTCCTACGTGGGCGACGTTCGGTTCGTTCCCTTCCTCCTCATTTTCCGCTATTTGCTGCTCCAAAGTCAAGGATTTCTGGAAGTTCAGATCCACCAGGTCGCTCCGGATCACCGTGACCCCAAAGTAGACCCTCTTGCCACTGCACGGCGTGGCGTTCACGGGGACGCGGGCGGCCACCGAGCGCAGCTCCTCCGGGATGGTGACGTTCCCGTAGGGAAGCACCCACGGCGCGTAGAAAACGCAGGGGAACATCCCGAGGATGAGGCTGCTTTCCAAGGGCTTCACTCCAGACATCCTGCCTTCTGAAGCCACACAAATTCAGCAGTTAAGTTAACACAGATCATTCTCTGTAAATATTCAAACTCAGTTTTCTCTGGAATTCCACCCGTCGCAGCTCCTCGGGGATGGTGACGTTCCCGTAGGGAAGCACCCACGGCGCGTAGAAAACGCAGGGGAACATCCCGAGGATGAGGCTGCTTTCCAAGGGCTTCATTCCAGATATCCTGCCTTCTGAAGCCACACAAATTTAGCAGTCAAGTTAACACGGATCATTCTCTGTAAACATTCAAACGCGGTTTCTCTGGACTTCCACCCATCTTCACAACCCAATGCTTCCATTAGGAAAAACCCTCCAACACAACAGGCTGGAACTGTAACTAAAGAAAATGCCAAGTATTCCCACGGAAATCAGTGTGTAAACCACGATCCCAGTTCCTGTAGCGGGGTAACAGCATATTTTGATCCCTTACATTCCAGCAACTGGGATTGATTTGACAGTTTTAAAAATATTAAGTTCTCCCCGCTTCTAAGATTTTACATATTATTTTAGATGTCCTGCTGTGATGTCCCCATTTAACTTTCCCACCTAACTGAAAATGAGTAACTGTTCCTGGGACATTTCACAGGTCCCTGTTGGCACAGGGTGACCACAGCTACTCAGGCAGAACCTGTCCAGTTGGGTCCCATGTAACCATATGCCCAAACCAAAAGCGCTCCCCAAATTACCGAGGCCACAAGAGCCCTGAGACAACGCAGAGATCCAGGGCCACCTGCAGAACGTGTCATCCGGGAGGACGTCCCCACGCGCGCAGGGTTCCGGGAGCCCCTCGCGTCTCCGTGAGGCCGGATTCCCCCGGGAAGCGGCGCTGATGTCACAGGCCAGAACGTGGCCACAAAAACCTTCCCGTGGAATCGCCGGAGACAAAAGAACACCCGGAACTCCCGGAGTCGAGACGGAGCCACCGGCTATAGGAAATAAACCAGACCTCTTTATTTACAAACACAGAAACTAACAGCACTGCTACGCGCTACCAACAGGCCGGCATCCGACAAGTATTGTACAAAACTACAGATATCAAAAAATAAAATAACAGATGGAAGGAAATAAACCAAGGACATATACACTGTACAGAGAGGTCTTAAGAGAAGTGAAAGCTGGAGGCTGTGGCAAATCGGGAGCTGCAGCTGCGTCTCGAGGACCGCTGCATCCTTGAACCTGGGCCTGGGCTCAGAACCACCACAAACGCAGGGATTTGACGGAATAATTTTCCACAAGGACATGAGTTGTTCTAGAACCAAAAAGAACACGGAAGACTAATACCATACACCATAGGAATTAATTTCATCGAATGAAACTGGTCACTGCATCGAAGTCATAACTGAAAATATCTTAAAAAAAAGTCCTGATTTAAAATGTCTCATTTTTTTCTCTGTTTAAATCTCATGCAACTAATGCATATGTACAACTGCAAATTAATAAATATCTTTATGACTCTTCTTCTGGGCTTTTAGTGTCTGCTGCAAGATATCTTGAAAAATTAAATACATAGCGATAATCCATGTAATTATGTCTGGGGAAGAACTGAAAGTAATTCCACAGGACCTATAAAAATCTCTACAGACCCAAGGGCATGAGCAATAGAAACCTCCTTTTAATAGGCTGTTGCTCTAGTACAGTGGGTCTGCAGGTAGGGGATGGAGAAATTTGCCTCTTCTCATTTCCAGAAGGAAAAAGATACACAGGTCATGGAGGAAAAGGCTGAAGCATCGTTGGGAATTAGCTGTTAGCAGTCACTGTCCTTCTATTCTTGATCCACAGGTGTGAAAAAGAGATGAGCATGTTGAAAGCTCGAGCTGGGTATGTTGCGTTGCACTCAGACTGTTATTGTCATCATCTTTTTAAGGCTTGGATGGGGAAACTGGAAATCGGCTCTTTGAATTAGGAGAAATATTGGCTCTGCTTCTTCCCTAATTGCCAGGCATACATCAGCTAAGAAGGAACACAGTTTTCTCTAGCAGGGAGCAGAACAAGAAAGGTACAGCATAAAAACACCTGCGAGGAGAGAAAAGTGCCAGCACAGCCTTTCATATTACTGTTTAGAAGACAGTCTATATAAATTTAAAGAGTCTTTTATCTAGAGCTACTTCCTCTTGTTCATTTTTCCAGAAGCAGAGTCATCCTTCATGTCTAAAATATTCACAATATGAAGATTCAGTCTTTGCAGACTTCGGATGGTGTCCTGATTCTTCAGATTGCATCTCTCTCCACTTGAGAGGAAATCAAACCTGGCACGTAACCCACAGCACTTCCCCAGGCATGTCAGCACAGAAGGCATCATCCGAGCTAACGGAAAAGCTGGGAAGGTAACGCAGCTGGGATAGAAGGAGCAGAATCACAACTCACTGGAATGCAGAGAAAGGGAAGGACAGACAATCATACAGCATCTGGAATAAAAACACACACTTTGGGTATTCTTCCATCCAGGAAGAAAAAACACTTAGAAGACAATGTTTGGGAAGCTCTGGAGCGGCAGAGTGGTGGGTACCTGCACACTTTAGAAAGAGTTAAACTCGTCACCACGAAGGCAGTCCAGTTAGTCACTTTGCAAATAGCACAACCTGAGAGTCAGCATCTTACATTGTCGCATGTAGAGGCAGTTAAGGAGGAATGAAGGCCGTTTCCTCTTCTATAATTCATTTCTTATAAAAGTCACTCCCTGAATCCATGAACAATCAGGCTGCTGTATTAAAATCAGTCCATTCTGACTGAGCATTTCCATGTATTTTCCACATTATGGTGCCAATATAGGAAAGGGCATAGGAGGCTAAAGAAGAGCATCTTCATAACAGTTCTGAGATTGCACCACCTGCTAAAGAGATCAAAGACAGGTGAAAAATAAATCAAACTCATAAACAGATGTCACCAGAAACCAGCAACTACCAAATAGGGCAGCATTTCCAGAAGCAAAAAAGAAAGAGAACAAGATTTTCCAGATGCTAAAGCCATTTTTTTTCAGGCTAGGATATAATCAACAGATATGATGTCAGATAAATTTAAATCTCCAGCATTTCTGCATCTGTATTTGAGCTCACAGGCGCAGACGAGGTAGCTGAGGACTCCTGAGCTATTAGGACTCCTTGGGTCCTCTGAAGGCACCAGGACTGCAGAAGGGAACACACTAATGGATCCGAGAGAAGTGCAGCGTAGCAATATTGATTATCTGTCTATAGCTCACTTAAGGCACTTATGGAAAAACACCCATAAGTGCTTTCAGGCATCTAAGATTTAAAAACAAATGAGAGCTTTGCCCTCTCCCATAGAAAGCTAAAGCAAATCAGGAACTGGTTTAAACCATTTGTTCACATGAAAAAATACATTTCCATTTCACACTGCCCAAACCCCCAGCCGATTCCACTGGACAGGAATGCACATGCCAAGCTCAGGAGCAGCTAACAAGGGAAACTCCAAAGTCATCAAATTCCATCAGCCAACAGCAAATGGGACTACATGGCTACAAATGCATGGGATCATTACAAACAAAAACACCCCAAAACTCCCAAACGGGGCTTTGAGAGGATGTACAAAAAGAACAGAGTCTGTCTTGAACATTGTTTCATATGAAGAATATGAGAGGAAACAGGATTAATATTTTTCCTACAGCTCTATAGAAGGGACAGATGCAAGAGCAATTACAAACGTCAAGAAGAAATTGCAGAGATCTGTCTACAATGAAAGATGAAGCAAATTACTGAGACAAGTTGATAATGAAATTACATATGGTGAAAAAAATAACAAAATTGCTTATTATCAAAACCACTGATATGAAGACACACTGCTTGCACTGCTAATAAGACACCAAAGCTGAAGTGTCCAGTTCTTCCTTAAAAGCAAATAAGGATTGCAATTTGCTTCTGGAAACCTCACCGTAAGTGATAAAAAAGTAATTAACAGGCCTGCTGAGGAGGCTAACAGTTACCCTGATGCTGTCTTCAAACCAGTCCTAGCCACCCAACGTGACACAACAGGGCAGCCAGGACACAGCACGGAAGCCAGCAAGGACATCTGAGCAGCTTTAGGACCCAGACATTTGTCACTATTTTACTGGTACTTTAAAGCACTCTGCAAGATCCACAATTATTTGAGAAATCAGAGAGAACTACTCTGGACGGCAGCTCTGACACCTCCGGGGCTTGGCACAAGGTTTGGAGAGGTTTTTGACTAGTATCTGCTTAATTTCTGCATTCTGCAAGCTCTAATATGTCAGACAACAACCACGTTTTGCCCTGTATAGGCAAGTTTCTTTTATCATAATTTCTGCATTCTGCAAGCTCTAATACGTCACAGGATTAAATGGAAGCCCAGAAAACCATGACATTTTGCCCCGCATAGACGAGTTTCTTTTATCTCATCCCCTTTAAAGGCAAATTATCAACACCAGTGCAAGCGAGGTAGCAGGAGCAGAGCAGGAAGGACAAGGAGCAGGGTGGGTAACACAGGAGCAGCAGGGAGGGAAGGAAGGACATGGAGGGAATCAAATCTACACAGCTTCAAACCCACAGCAGCAGCTGCTGAGTTCAAGGAAACGCAAAATTTGATATATTAATTACATCCTGCCTATGAAACTGTCTATATATCAACCCTGAGTTCTTTTCTACAAGAACTGCCAACGAAAGAGGAGTCCACACTAGTTTATCCAAACACACTTCCTTTACCTCACTTGAATGAGCTTTGTCCAAATAACAAACTCAGGCAGCAAACGAGAGACAAGCAAATGAGAAACTTGTCAGTTGAGACCCAATCTTCGTTTGAAACTTTAATTTTGGATCCCAACACAGGTGACTTTGTCTTGAAATAGCATGACCAACAAAACATGACTAGGAAAAGATAAAGGACCACCAAAATCTAACCTCATTTACAGGAACTGCACTCTCTGTAATTTAACTAACATTGCTGCACAGCTAGAAATGAAAACTCACATCCTAGATTTTATCGCTGGGTCCATTTAATCAAACAGACCATTAGAGGCACTCAGTCATTTAAAAGACACTAAGTGGAAAGCTGCAGGTTGGTACCTTTAAAACAGATAATACTCCAATTCATTAAGGGGAAAAGAACTTTGATTAGCTTGTTCAAAAGAAACACACAGAACGGGAGAAATAAAAGCTCCTCTAAGATAATGGGCAGTATTTTTATCCCCAGAAACCATAAAAGCCTCTTCCCTTTCCTAATTCTTCTCACATAATTTTTCTGCTCTTTATCACACTACCTAGCATTAACAATGGCATCAAATATACTTTTTAGCTTCAGAATCCTTCATCATTTTCATTTATCTTGTTGAACTCTACCCAGAAAAAAAACACACACTCTTAAGAACTTTTAATTTGACATAAATTATCAAAAAGATAGAAATCCTCAAAAAATGCTTTTAAAGTAATGCTCAATCTCTTTTAAAAACCCTGTATGTTCCTTATAAGCAACAGCACGTGCGTGAATATCACTCTGATGAGAAATATTAAAAGCACTTACACTTAAAAAAGCCAAATTTTGCCTGTCCTTGACAGCAGCTGAATATTTAGTGAGCAAGGGCCATTTGGGCTGATAAAAATTTATGACTAAAGTGAGGGTCTGTACAAAGCAAGGCCACCAAGCAAGCTGAGGACACTCACACTAGGTCCTTACCTGCCAACGGCTGTCCCAGCTCCGCCTGCACTTTACCCTTCGCTGCTCCTTCCAGAGGTAAAGCACCTCTGTCCCCTTTGTAGAGTTTCGGTTTAAATGGAGAATCTTTGTCTTTACCTTTTGATCCTTTAGGCCTGCCTGCTTGCTTCTTCTTGGATTTACCATCTCCCTTCACACCCAGCAGCGGATGGACTTCTGGGGAGAGACAGTGATACCGAAATAGTTACCCCCTAGGATACTTCTACCAGCAGCTAACAGGCCCTGAAGCACCACAGAACAGCTACGTTTCCTTTAATTACCATCCCACTTTTATACTTAAATCACTTCAAGTCACTGGATGGTATTTGTAAAAATACGCTACATTTACTTGCTTGTGAATAGGTTGTCTTAAACTGCTTACAATACATTATTTCTACTAACAGAAGTCTCTGTTCTAATACTGGGACAGCAAAAATGATGTACTAAGTGATTTTTTTTCTATTTGAATTTAAAAAGAATAAAATGGCTACTAAGTTAAAGACAAACAAAAGTTGATGACAACTAATGACTACTATATGAGATACCCTCACGGGAAGAAGAAAATTAAGGAGTATCTTCTGAACTCTTGGTCTTAAGATTAGGCAAAGCTAAAAATCTCTGGGGTAGAAGAGTAAGGCTCTACTCACCATCATTAGGTACTCCTTGGAGTTCAATGTTGGTGGTTTTGGGCTTCTTCTTTGGTGCCTGAGGGCCATCAGAGGAGCATTGTCTCTTCTTCTCAGAACCTATTCCCTCGTCAGTTAAAGAACTCTGAACAGCATCAGGTGGAGGACCATAAGGGTTTTCTTCAGGGTCTTCCACTTCAGGAGCAATGGGCAAGTAAAGCAAAGCCTTTGAGTCCTCCAGTTCTTCATCACTATGGAGACAAATATATATCTTCATTTAAAACCAGGGCATTTAGGATGTGCATTCGTCATATCTATAAGCAAAGATCTGTCTCTGCATAAAGGTCCACCCGATTTATAGAGCAACCTCAGCAGAGAAACACAGTGATCTTTGGACACAGAGATTCACCTCAACCTCCACCAATGGCTTTTTATACAAGTAGTTCTTTCACTATCTAAAGAACATACAAAATCCAAGTGGAAGGTTGTTACAGTGTATTAGAAACAGCATCTTGATACATTTCATACTTCTTCCTTAAACAAAGGACATTCTTTCACCTGCTACAGAAGGCAGCAATGGGATCCACACTAGTTACATCCACTTCTTCATCTTCTGCAGCATCAGCACCTGAGAACCAGGGAAAAAGAAAATTAAAGACAGTAAGGTAAAGAGAGTGGTCTGTGGCATCGTGTGAGCAATTCTCTCCTTGCATAGCTACAGTCTTTCGATGTGTAATTTTTGGCACCACCAAGTGGCTAAGTTGTGCTTCTACTGATTCAAATTCAGTATTATTTCCCTTGAAAGCATGTGCAAAGTGTTATGTCTATTTACTAAAAGTATGTCAAAAAGGGCAGTCATTTTGGTAAAAATACTGATCAAAGGTAAAAATAAAAATACATATCACCACGATCATTAGTTTTAAGTGTAGCCACATACTCAGACTATAATTACTTGACAAAAATGGAATTTCTAGACAGCCACACGTTTGGGACATAGCTTATGCTGTACCTGTCTGTTCTGGTTCGCTCTTATCTTCATCTTCAATGTCAAACTCTGATTCCCTTTCCTCATACTCCACATTTTCATCCAGCTCTTTGAAGTCAGGTGCAAAGGCACTCCAGTTTTCCTAAATCACAAATTCAGGAGTAATTTTACCTTATGCAAAGGAACACAAACCACAGTGAGGGCCTCATTCAGTCACAATCTTATTCTACACCTAAATCTTTCAAGGCACATACAAGCTCACATACTGCAAATACAACACTGTAATATTCCTTAAATTGTCCTAAAATCAAAGCTCTGTGTTAATGTTTAATCATTTCATCTGTGTTTCATTCATTCATCTAAACAGCACACTCAGAAGGGCAGCATTCACACAAAAACTATCCCTATGATGATGATAAAGGTTTCTGCAAAGCTCAGCTAAGTTCAGCCACTGCAGTATGACAACCCTATGAAACTTTTATCAACATCAAACATTTTTCAAAGTCAGGCAGGTGAACCTAAAGAACTTGATCAATTTGCATTTTATAATAATAATCCTAAAGGATTTAATTATGCTATAATTCAGTTCACTTGGATGGAGATCATTGGGTAAGACCCTTAAGGAAGGAATCTAAAGCACTTACCACTTGATTCTGAGCCCATATTGACACAACACCGCTGGAAATCGATGCTATGATGGGTCGGACAGGATGCCACTAGGTTTATTTGAAAGAGAAAAAGAGGAGGAGTCTAATTTGTAAACGGAATTAGGAAAACTTAGTTTTTTAAAAACACAGAAACATAGTAATAGTGGTTAATGTTCTTACTGCTACATCCAAAAGCAGTTCTCCTCTGGTCCCATGCAGGATTTTCACTAGGTTCCCAATACTTTTTTCCCAAATGTACAGGGCATGCTGTCGTGCTGAACCTGCCACTATATATTCACCATCCCCAGAGAAACAGCACTTCTTCCACGGCGTCCTGTAGTTCAAAGCAGCTAGTTCAATAACTTCACATGAGGGAGAAAGAAAGTCTAGAGTAGGATTGTTCCCCACACCAATATTTCATCACCTTCATCCACAAGCAATATTTGAACTTCAAATCAAATTGTGACACAATTTCAAATGAAAACCTACTGAAGGAGTTAGTGAACCAGTCTTCATCGACAATCTCTCAACAGGGCAGAGCACACAAATCTCACCCTTGCAGGTCAGGCTGAGCAATCATTTTGCCCCCTCTTACCGATTAACTAAATCCTGTAGCTTCTGCATTGGCTCAGGCTCCCCATCCCGTCCACAGGTCAGAATCTCACGCCCGTCGTACACTCTGATTATCCGGTCAGCTGTGTTTATTAAAAAGCAGCTGCAGGAAGAAGAGCACAAAACATTTGTTGCAATAAAAGTCTAAGATATTAAAAAAAAAAAGAAAAATCAGAATATGTTCTATTACAGAGATTTTTTTAAAAAAAAAAACCTTTCTGTACTTTATCAATCCACTCTACAGCTTTCAATTTGTCTTTAGACACCACTTGACAAATAACTCACCTTCCTTTCCGAGCAAATTCAATTGATTTAATAGCTGTGGTGTTGCTGGTTCCAGTTGTCACTCTGAAGGAAGCAACAAGATCCTGAGTATCTGTTTTTAAGACCAAGATCTGCAGATTAAGGAATGAGAAGGCAATTAGTACCTTCATTATGATTTATTCCCCTTTTAGTACCTTTTGCATCAGCTACCAAGAGCAGCCTGAGCAACCTAAAGCAGAATAGTTGGGATTCTACAACTGTAGTTTCTGCTTTTGGAAACTTTTATGAGCAGCTTTACCATCCCATGGTCAGCAGTGAAATGTGCAGAAGCACTTTTTGACAGATCATTGCTTAAATTAGCAGATACTGTTCTGAACCCCTCTGACAAAACTGTCCTTTAAAAGTATTTTACCACATGTGTGCTTAGGTACACTCTACAGCAAGCAGGATCCAAACAGCAGCATCACAAAGACAGAACTCACACAAGGCAATGTACACTACGGATCTTGAAAGATAAAATTACATGTCTTAATCAGAAAAATCCTACCTAAACTATATCATGTATTCAAGAGGCATTCAGGAAACCTTATTTGGATAGTAAAACAAAGAATGTTATCCGAAAGATCAATGATCTTAGGGGATAAAACCAACCAAACAAAAGCAATCTTAGCTCTTCCACTGGTGTCACCTGCTCATATAGGTCTCACCTTCCCCTTGGCGTTGCCTGTGTAAATGTATTCCCCTCGTCTGTCAAAGGAGGCCACGACATTGAGATCCGAATCATCATCCACAGGCAGAACAACATGTTTGGAGTCAGAGAGTGTCAGCATCACTGGCGCAGACTTCATGGGACAAACCAAAACCCTGTTTCTGCAAAGCAGAAAAGGAAGAGAGTTACTAGTTTCTTCTCTGGACTTTTTGTTTCACATTTAGAAGCAGAAATAATCTGAAAATGAAAGCTGTCATCTATTTTCATTTTCTTTCTTTTTTGGAAGCTTTCCCATGTTATACAATAATGGATAGAATCAACAAGACATTTATATATGCACTTTTAAGACTCATCCTTTTTTTTCCTCTCATGCCTTTCTGCTAGTTTCATAATAAAGAGCATCACAACAAAACCAGTCACCGTTCTAAACACAAAGAGTCAGTAAACTATGAGCATTGCATTAAAAAAAGCTTTGCAAAAACTACAGCAAAACTATTGTATAAACCTTAATTACATCACTGTTTTTTCACAAAACTTACTGGTCTCGAGGGTGATATTGAACTTTCAAGATAGGCGAAGGGAATCGAAACCTCTGGTCACAGTCTCCAGAGAGAACGTCCCACTGCGACACAATGTTGTCGGTTGAAGCACTCACCAGTTTGTGACCATCTCGACTCCAGCTACAGAGACAAGGGACAACTCCAGTCAGAATGTTTTTCTTAAGGGCCAAACGTGTATAAGCCAACAGGGAGTTTAAACAAATTATCAGATGGAATCACCAGGTTCAACTAAAACTCCATCAGCCTCAAAAGCACCTCCTTTAAGCTCCCTTCTCCCAAACCTTACTGGGGACAATCTTTCCAAGCTCTCTTAAAAGAAACTTAAAATGCAACTGAGCAATAAGGTGATCCTAAAGCACAGCTGAGCACCCCTTAACTCGCTTCTA